TTCTCTAAAGTCGGACGATTTTACGGGTCGGTGAACACAGCACAAGCAGGACTTTCAAGACTTTTTATTTTTTTGTTCAGCAGCAGTTTATTGAATTATTGAGTGGATATTTTTGGAATAAACTGTTTTTTTTTATTACATTCAAGACTTCATTTTGATCAGTTTGTGGTCAGATCAATCAGAGCTGGTCAGATTAGATCAACAGATTAGAGGAGCAGCAAGTGCTGCTACAGGTTATACTCAGTGCTGGACTGCAGCGTGCATGGTTTCCACAGGAGTGCAGCTTGTTTCATCTAAAGTAGGTTGGAAAAATGATAGATAACAGTAAAACTATGTAAGTTAATGAATGGTTAAATTGCATTTTCACTGCGCTTGGTTCTCTGCAACTCCACTTGTTCCCAAAGTACGCTGTGCTGCGAGAGAGAGGGAGAGATGCTGATGTTGTGGCAGTGCGCTACAAATAAATGAATGTGTGGGAAACCCTGCGCTTCCTTCTGCACGGTGATATGGTTCAGTAGAAGCAAAATAGTTCCTTTTCAAATATATTTTCATGGCACTTTGAGCACCACAAGCTGAGTGCCATCTAGTTCCATTACATTCAAGAGAAGGCAGACATCCTTATGGCCGATATCTCCAACACTCGGCAGCTCACTCCAAAACAATCTAGATTGATAAATAGCTCTGCAGGTAAGAGAAAAGAATAAGTATTTTGATTTTAGGGGTGAACTGTCTCTTTAAATGACATCATTTAACACAGTCTCTTTGTGTTTTCAGTGTAAGAAAGATTTCAAGTATTCTTGGAATATCTGTAGACCATGGTAAGAATGTATCAGGTTGGCAGGCAGTTTGCAGACTGTTACTGGCTTTGTTCATTTGGTTAAAATCAAATCAAATGTCAAAGAAAAAAGTGGATTCCCGCACACACTTACCACCTCTGCACTGATTTATTAAAAAAAGTGTCAATGTTTCAGTCACAAGGAGCTTTCTCATTACATATTCCAAGGTCCTTGTGACTGAAATTTCAACACTTCAGTGCAGAGATGATAAGTGTGTGCAGGAATTCATTGTTTTCTTTAAAGTTTTATCGTCAGGGGACTAGATTCCCTGCAACAGAAAGGAGACAAAGCAAGTGGTGTGCGTGTTGCCCTCCACTCATCCTAAGTTTAAGAGCATGCCTTATGTTAACTGAACATTAGCTTTCTAAGTCTTCTCATCCCTCTGGCCAGCTCATCTGCTCTGAACTTTGCATCTCATTCTCTGAAAAGAAAAGAAAATCCATGTCAAATATGAAAGGTTTCATTCCAAAACACTACCTGTGTATTTCGGAAAAAAAGCAGTTTGAGAATCATTCATAAATATAAAGAAAACTCAAATCTTAACACAACGTGTGCCTTAAATTGTCACCATTCATTTAATAAAAGGTGTTGATTTTGTAAGCATTAAGATTGTTTCAGTTTGGAATGAAACCTAATCGCATCATCATAATGAAATTTTCCAGCTTTGCCTTTAACACCAAGGTCTCATATTTTAAGAGATATGCTATTTTGAAAGGCCTGCCTGTGCGCTGGTGGGGGTGAAACAGCTACAGCTTTGTGTTGTGTCCTCTTCAGCCTACAGTCACTCGGATGCAGATGTGTTAAATCAGTCGCTGCTGGAGGCTAACATCGCTACTGAAGTGTGCCTGACCGTCCTGGACACACTAAGTATCTTCATCATGGGATTCAAGGTTAACATACGTACCATTTTTTGTGCTCTTTAAATGTTATATTCAAGTTCTAATAATTAATGCTTCATTAAAACCATGTGAGTTCCTATCTGTGTTTTAAGTCAGATGGTGCTTTGTTTCTCTACAGACCCAGCTGTGCTCCGACCACGGCCACAGTCCACTCATGAAGAAGGTTTTTGAAGTCCACCTCTGTTTCCTGCGGATCAATCAGTCAGAAACGGCTCTCAAGCAGGTCTTAACTACGCTGCGCACCTTCATCTACAAGGTGTGAAGAACGTTGGTTTCCCTACCTAACAATACGATTTCTTGTATTAAGTTGTACCAAAAGGTCTTACAGAGAGTTGGAAAAGGGCTTTTATGTATTTTGCAAAGTCAGATTTCTTTTCAAAGTGTTTTAAAACTCCATGAGCTCATTGAATGCTGCTAAATATATTATGAAAGACCTGCAGACAGAATCATTGGATTTACTGGTCCATCCAAGTTCCAACCCTCACCTATGGTCATGAGCTTTGGGTAGTGACTGAAAGAATGAGATTGCAGATACAAGCAGCTGAAATTAGTTTCCTCCGTGGCCTTTCTGGGCTCAGCCTTAGAGATAGGGTAACAAGCTCAGACATCCGGAGGGAGCTTGGAGTAGAGCTGCTGCTCCTTCACATCAAAAGGGCGCATCCCATTAAAGGTGTTCCGGGCACGTTCCCACTGGTAGGAGGCCCCAGGGCAGACCCTTGGGGTCCCCCAGAAGGAGCTGGAAAGTGTTGCTGGGGATGTCTGGGGCGCTTTGCTTGCCCTGCTGCCTCCCGCGACCCGGCCCTGGATAACAGATAAAAAAACAGATGGATGGATGGGTGGATGGATGGGACTTTGATGGGTGTGTACCCCTGCAGCGCTCAGGTGAGGTGGGGACGTTATAATAAGGTAGTGACCAGGTGCCAGACTGTAAGCAGCAAGCATCCGGGAGACACAGCACCGATAATGCACATATATAGCGAGGTGAAATACAAAATGACGGTGAATTTACAAACAGTAACCAACATACCTGCATAGTATACCTTTTAAAAAATGGTTAATAAATAAAGATGGTCTTGGGTGTTCACCATAGCTGATGACCTGTCTGTCGTCTTCACCCTCTAGTTCCCCTGCACGTTTTTTGAGGGGCGAGCTGACATGTGTGCTGCTTTCTGCTACGAGATCCTGAAGTGTTGTAACTCCAAGCTGAGCTCCATCCGCAGTGATGCGGCCCATCTGCTCTACTTCCTCATGAAGAGCAACTTTGACTACACAGGTCGCAAGTCCTTCGTCCGGACGCACCTACAGGTGGGATAGTCCTTCTGTGGATTAAACTTCATGTTCATGTTATTTAAGCCTTTAATAATGAGACCTTTCCTAATTTTACGAGAATTGCATATAAACAGGATTTTAAAGTGATGAGATGTCTGTGGGTCCTCAAACAATATGGAAGTAAAATTGATGTCAATAAAACACAAGCATTAAAAGTATATATTGCAATTTTTTATCTTTTCCTTCCTTTAGGTGGTGATTGCTGTCAGCCAGCTGATAGCTGATGTGATTGGGATCGGAAGTACACGCTTCCAGCAGTCTCTGTCAATAATCAACAACTGTGCCAACAGTGACAAAACTATCAAGGTCAGGAATTCATATATGTGCATATTAATGTTCTGGTTCTACTGCAACCGTTAAGTTAGAGCTTTGATTGGGCCCAAAAAATCCGGCTCAACCTGGATCCGGCAGGTTGGGTCAGACCCAATCAGGGCAACACCATGGCTGACTATTCTTATTTGTGCATCCAGAACACAGCTTTCCCATCAGACGTTAAGGACCTGACCAAACGCATCAGAACAGTTTTGATGGCCACGGCTCAGATGAAGGAGCACGAGAGAGATCCAGAGATGCTGGTGGACCTGCAGTACAGCCTCGCCAAGTCTTACGCCAGCACACCTGAGCTACGCAAGACCTGGCTGGACAGCATGGCCCGCATCCATGTGAAGAACGGAGACTTGTCAGAGGTGTGTGATAAGAGACTGTGTGTGTGTGTGGCTGAACAGGTTGTACTTTGGTATGATGGTGGCCGATTGAACATGTGATAGACTCACTGTAGGCCTGTGTCTGAGGATGTGTCTGCACAGTATCAAATATCAAGTACTGATTAGATTTACTTCACATTGGTCCAGCTTATTATGAGTTAATGTTCTTTTAGTGGATGAGTCTGTGCTATAACATAATACTATCAACATCACTCAGCTTATCTGACCTGAGCTGTACTTGTTGTTGTTAACAGGCGGCCATGTGCTACGTGCACGTTGCAGCACTTGTGGCAGAATATCTGCGGAGAAAAGGTGATTAAATAATCTTTTTCCACTTGCATGCCGCACAGCAGCTCTCAGGTTTAGTTTGTATAGTCTCTGTAATCTTTCTTGTTCTTGTTTGCCCAATCCGTCTGTCTCATCTCATGCTGCGTGCAGGCATGTTCAAGCAGGGCTGCTCAGCGTTTCGTGTCGTGACTCCAAACATTGACGAGGAAGCAGCGATGATGGAGGACGTCGGCATGCAGGACGTCCATTTCAATGAGGTATGTGTTACTAATGCAAACAAAAGTGATAAATCACTGTCAATTTTATTTACTTTGAATGGGACCGTGCAAAGATTTGAACTAGATTACATGAATTTAGATACAGCCTGTCATCTGACCACATCAGGTCTCAGTGTTAGTTGATTACATTTCTAAATTTTGTACTTTAAAGGAATATTTCACCCATAAAACGATCATTTGTGTGTCAGTTAGTCACCAAATGTTACACAGAAGTCGTGAAGAAAACTTCCTTTTCTCACGTGCCTCACCAGTGAACGAAGAATCCAAAAAGGCGAACATTCTTGATGAACCAAAGTAAACGAGGCCACACTTAACAGCAAAACTATAGCAAAACATCTGTTTACAAATTCTCACACAACCTGCACAGTGTAATCTAAGCCTCATTTAACCACTCGTATGCTCAGTACCTCCCAAACACATACATTTTTCGCTTAAAACTGTTTGCTAAACACGGACAAGTAGCACACCTCGGTGATGAACACATTGCTATTGTTAAGATACAACTTGTTTACTAATACACCATGAAAAAGATTCAGACATCAAAACATTAGTTCCGTATTTCATTTTACCCCTGGTCACATGTGCCCCACCCATCTTACCTCTGTGGTTGGTTTGAGATACACTGATGTATTTAGACATATAAACATATTTAACTGTTGCAAGAAGACAAAAACATTTAACATCTTATCTTAAGCTTTCCAATAGTGACTAATAATTTCAGTAGTAACTGTCTCTTTCAGTATTTCATCACAGATTTAACAGCTGACTCCCAAGATGTCAAACAATAGACACATCACATTAGCATTAAATACATTTTGTAATTTTCAAATATGATATAATTACTGTATATTTATTGTAATAATAAACGATAGGTTTGGTACACAGAAGGACAATCAGTGGAGGCAAACAAATCCAATAGGGATCAGGCAGAGTCAATCAACACGCTAAATCCAGGACACAGGAAAACAAAAGGCTGAACACTAGATAAACAAGGAGCTAAGACGAACTGACACTGAAAGAAAACAAGACACACACTAAATACTCTGCTGAGGGGAAGGATAACGAGACACAGGTGAGGCTAATCAGGGCAGGACGGACAGTCAGACACAGGTGAAGTCATCAGAAGGGAGGGAAAACACACGGGCAAGAAGTGAAGTGATCTGAAACAGGAGGAGACATGAGTTTGAAAGTAAAACAGGAAACAACATGAATGTATGAAGTAAAAAAAGATAACCAAAGAAACTTGAGCTGTGACATTAATCATATGGAAAATTGCCATTTTATCAATATCATGAACACAAAAGGGGCAGAAAGACACACACCAAAAGATGTGTGTTTTCCCACATTTCCCACATGGTAACCATCTTTTGTCATGATAGCAGGGGTGCTGACTTATCAAACTTTTCTATTTCAGCTTTACTTATATTTTTCTTGTTCCCCCAGGATGTCCTAATGGAGCTTTTGGAGGAGTGTGCAGACGGACTGTGGAAAGCAGAACGTTACGAGCTCATCTCTGACATCTACAAACTCATAATCCCCATTTATGAGAAGCGCAGGGACTTTGAAGTACATTCAACTTTTTATCTCCCCACAACACAGTTAGCATCTCCACATCCGAATCAGATTTATAATATGAGTTTTATTGCTTTGCACAGAAACTGGCCCACCTCTATGACACCCTGCATCGTGCATACAGTAAAGTGACAGAGGTCATGCACACAGGCAAGAGATTGCTGGGCACCTACTTCAGAGTGGCCTTCTTTGGCCAGGTGAGTTTAACTCTCAGTCAATTTCTTTTTGTTGACTTGATTTCTGCACTGTCTGTATTTAAAGGAATACTTCATCCCCCAAACGACCCTTTGTATATCAGTTACTCACCCCGTGTTACATAGAATTCATAAAGAATAATCTGTTTTTCTCACATGCCTCCATGGTGAACGAAGAATCCAAAAACTGAGAAAATCTTTGATGAATTGCAGTTAATGGGGTCCATGTTTACAAACAGCAAAACTATGTCAAAACATCACACAACTCGTGCAGTATAATCCAAGTCATTTATCCAGTCAAATGTTCAGTACTTCCCAAAGAGACAGCCCTCTCCTGCGGGGAACTGAACTGAAAATAAAACGTATCAATGCTCTCTTCAAAGCCAGACCCCATTGACAACAACAGTAAGAGAGCTGCTGGTCTACGACTGCCTCAGTTGATCAGTTTGCTTGTCTTTTTATGTGACTTTAGAGTTCGAAAGGGTTAGTTTGGATTCACCAAAGTCACATAATAACACAAATAAACTACCGCTCAAGGCAGCCGTAGACTGGCAGCTCCCATAGTCCTAGTACAGCATTAGTATTCCTTTAAAACTGTATTCCACAAAGAGCACAAGTATTAATTTGGTTGCTGGTGTTGCAAAATAATTCACAATGAGCACATGGGGCTGCTGAAGTTGTGTTAAGAGCATGACCACATGCAGTGGCACTTTATGATCCTCTCTAATACCCTTTTCTGCTTTTTATTCTCTTTGAAGGCAGCGGTAAGTTGTGCAGTAGACCTTTGTAGCCTCTCTGAGCAGCCTGAGTATCTGTGTGGTGGTGTTAGTGCTGCTGTAATCCATCACACTTCTCACTTCTCAGTCATAGCTTGCTGTGTACAGTAACAATCAGTCACCTCTGCTGCTTTCTGTTTCTGGAACCATGTTGCATGGCGCCCTCTCACGTGTGCACTCATTCCAGTGTTTCTGCTTTTGTGTTACAGATCTAAGATTTTAGTACTGATTCTCATTTTTGTCGTATCTTGTGACATCTCTGTTGGGTGTGGTTACCTCTGCCTGTGTGCTTTGATAGAGATCCACAGATCCATGTCTCTCTTGACATGGTAGTCTGATCAGTGGTGAAGTAGTTTGAATCAGAGTGTGTGTTGAATTTATCCCTAGTTTTTAGATAGCTCTCATGGAATAATGATGATTTTATTTTTCTGCTGTCCACACCCCTGTTAGCAGTACCACTTTACTGACTCAGAGGCTGAGGTAAATCAATGTTAAAGCCAACAGTTGGACTGCAGTGATGTGGCTGTGTTGTGCTCCTTCACTAATGCAGTCGGTGCTGTTTCACATGCATCGCTTATCTTCAAGCCTTGTACTCCTCCCCTACTCCAGCCTTGGTGTTGTTATATCTTAGTAGGAAAACCCTTGTAGGGCCAATAGCAGGATTCATCTCTCACTGGGGAATTGCATGGCTTCACCCATCTGTTCATGGGACTTTTTACCATTAAAATGCAAGTCGACTGACTAATAAGTGCTCCCACTGACAGTGTGAAATCTATCTCCTTTGGCCCGTCTCACATTACTGAACTGACACTAGTTGATGTCTTGCTGTGGAAGTTTCCTTTTTCTGTGCTTTAACATTAGAGGGTTGTGTACTTGTGGAGTCTAGCAAACCTTTCAGCCCGTAGCTAAAGACTATTTCACCATTTCATTTGAGCAAATAGTTGGAATAACTTCCACTCACAGCTCATGTTTGGTTTGATGTGGCACTGTTTGCTTCTTGATATCTTAGTAGATAAAGAAACAGTTTGTTTTTATTCATTCTGACCATGTTTAATCTGTTTTTAGGGCTTCTTTGAAGATGAAGATGGGAAGGAGTACATCTACAAAGAACCCAAATTCACCCCTCTGTCTGAGATTTCGCAGAGGCTCCTCAAGCTGTACTCTGACAAGTTTGGACAGGAGAACGTGAAGATGATCCAGGACTCTGGAAGGGTAAGACTTTGTTGATACTTACTTTGTAATTACAACCGACACATATGAGTCATAAAAACATCTGTTGTAATGACATGTGCTCTGTGCAGATTAACCCCAAAGACTTGGACTCCAAATATGCCTACATTCAAGTGACACATGTGACCCCTTACCTGGAGGAGAAGGAGCTGGTGGACAGGAAGACAGACTTCGAGAAGAGCCACAACATCCGGCGCTTTGTGTTTGAGATGCCTTTTACCATATCAGGCAAAAAGCAAGGTGGGGTGGAGGAGCAGTGCAAACGCAGGACTATACTAACCAGTAAGTAACACTTTATACTGTGGGTGGTAGTGGCACATAAGCTCAAAGGGCTGGAAAACATGCTGCATCTTTAACGGCATGGAAGATGCGAGGTTGGGCACTGGGTGCTACTCTCGTGCTGACCGTAGCAACCATAATCAGCACCATAGCCTATTAACCAGAAATCCTGAGTTTGGAGCTGATTTTCTTCTAGACAGTTTTTTTTGTTTGTTTGTTTGTTTGTTTTCCAACTCGCTTTAATAGTTAGGCCAGTTAAGTATCAAGTATCAATAAGTATCAATTGGGGTTTACCTTGGAAATGTGATTATACAATCGCTATCAGTCCCTTTTGTCTTGTACTAAGTGATAGAAAGGGCTCAGTCGTAGGAACTGGGGAAACTGAGATCGCACAAAGTGATGAATTTTGAAAAAGTGGAACAGGAGAGTATTTGCAAGACTGAGTTTTGCAGAGAGATCTGCAAAGTAGGTAAAAACATCATCAACATAGAGGTCATTTATAGTCCGCAACCCTTTCTCTGACCAGAGGGATGGCAGGAAAAGGTGGTTGCAAAAAACGGGGGCTAGACCTGATGGCGTATACAGGCCAAACTCTTCTAAACTGGTTCCAGATTCTCAGAGTATTTGTCACGATTGGATTTATAGTGACTTGTTCAATTGAACAAGGTAGTTGGGAACAGGCCAAGACACTGTTTTTTAATTATGTAATAGACCCAAAATATTGTCCATTGAAAAGATGCAGAGCTCTGGGTACCCCTGCACTAAAATGATCAACTTCTTCTTAATATTTATCATAGACATATTTATGGAAGAAAGGGAAAAAATCTACCACCTGTGATTGGTTGTTCCTTGTCACGTGACGTGGTGCACATTGCTGCGTTCCAAAAGTTGAACTTTGTTTATCACAGACTAATGCAGCTGTCAAGCCCTGAAAAGCAGGACCTTGGAAACACTCACACACCAAGATAGCGTCACTTTTGAGCACGGCCACTGCACGTGTACATTGAAAACAGTAGATTTGAGGGCGATAAAAACGTGGCATGTGTATAGGCCCTTAAGGGGGTACTCTTGGGGACTTACAGGGAAAAGATTTTAAAAAATAATGTCAATATTGGTGCAACACAGACAACAATATTCTGACTTTTCGTCTGCAGTAGCTCAACGTTCCTCACAGTCACAGAATACATTATGCAACTATTCCCACAGGCTGAGTAGTTCTCTTCATCACTAATTAACTAAAATCTGTGTAGTTTCCATTTGTGATAGTTTTCTGTAACAGAACCCAGCTGTAAATAAACAAGATTTTGGTGTCCTCTACATCAAATTATCTTAAATATTCTAAAAAGTGGGATACATTTGTCATTATCCTCCCAGACTACAGACCACCTCCTCCCATTGTCTGCATATTGACACATTTAAGGAAAACAGGCTCTAAATACACACTGTGTTGAAGAATGTCACGTAGGTATCAGTAGTTGAGGCATAATATTACTCAGCAGAAAGGGGCCTGTGCATGAATAGAAGACCTTGATTAGATTCTGAACATGTCAGCTGTCTGTCAAGGACCTTTCCTAATCCTAATCACAGTTTTATTGTTTTACGATGTAAAAGATCCAAAGGTTCAACGTTACATTCTTATCTTTATTGTCTGAGAGCTTTTGAAAGATGAACAGTCAACATTTAAGTGGGTCCTGAGCTGTAGAACTCAGGAAAGCACATGCAAGAAGGAAAGATATCCAAACTTAAAGGCCAGCTGTTCACCCACTCCTCCTCTCTGTCCCCCAGCCACGCATTGTTTCCCCTATGTAAAGAAACGAATCGCAGTGATGTATCAACACCACACTGACCTGAGCCCCATTGAGGTGGCCATCGATGAGATGAGCAAGAAGGTGGCCGAGATCAAGCAGCTCTGCTCCTCCAGTGAGGTGGACATGATCCGTCTGCAGCTCAAACTGCAGGGCAGCATCAGTGTCCAGGTGCCTGCTTTGAATTTTCTCGACATATACACACATACACACACTGGACAAACCTAATTAAGTGATCATGAAAAAAATATGACACTGCTCCTACATCCTCCCTCAGGTAAACGCAGGGCCGCTTGCATATGCA